ATAGATAGATAGATAGATAGATAGATAGATAGATATATATAGATATATATATAGATAGATATATATATCTATATATATATATCTATATATATATATAGATATATATATAGATAGATATATATAGAGAGAGAGAGAGCTGAGAGACGAAACACCTTTTACATAATTTATCATCATTTCATTCAGTCACGTGAGGCTGTTCATTCCTGATTGTCGGGCTTGATGAGTTTTATCATTTAAGAGAAACAATAATCATATTCTGGGTTATTTAATATCGACGTCACAATCTGAATTTCAAAACGTACAGATGCAAATAATTCATAAATAAGACGATCGCATTCTGCCGGTAGAAATGGATCCTGCGCTTATAAACAGAACACAGGACACAGTTTGATAAGAGACTACAGAGAGAAACACCTCTACAGTGGTGATTACTGTGTCTTTATTAGTTACTACACCCTTTGATACATTTTATTACCATTACTCATCTTTCATAAAATATACAGTTTTAGGCACCTTCTATATTAAAATGTCTTTAAAAGGCCCAGTTCACTCAACTTGCAATATCACATATGTTTCTACTTACCTCATGTGGTGTCTAGTCCTGCACATAGTTTTTGATTTTTCTTTTGAAGTTTTGAGATATTTGCCTTTGAAAACTTTGCGGCCAGCTTTTTATAATGGAAGTTTTATTTACATTTATAAAACTTAATAGCAAATACGTTTTCAACAATGTTTTTGGTTTCTTAGCTTAATCCGGCTCCCTGAAGAAGGCTGAAGAAACTGTTCCTACCAAATCAAAATTGAAATTTGTAAAGGCTCTGGATCCTACAACTAAATTTAATTGATTGTACTATGGGAGGACAGATATAAGTAACAAAATAAGTTGTTTTGCATTTGAGTGAACCCAACCGTTTAATGTGTAGAATTAAATTAGCATTCACGTAAACCAGGGCTTCTGTATGATCTGTGGAGCAGTAAAACATCCATAAAAGTGTCTGTTTGAGCATAATTGCAGTTTGCATCGTCATCATTCATCATCATCATTAGGATTTGGCAAATGCTCACCAGTCCCTTTCATGAGGCTGTCTGTATGGTATGCCTATCAGACTAAAAACATCCTTCTCTGTCGGTGTAGTAAACGGAGTGCCGCGATACACCTTCAAGCTACCCTGACGCACCACATCTTTATTCAACGAGTGCTCCGATAAGCTCATTCGTTTTGTCTTTGCCAGGGCTCTCATTGAGCGGTTAAAGTGTGCCGACCCGGTGAAATACACGAGAGAACAGGCGAACTCATCGTAGGGTACTACGATGATGTCCAGCCTGCGATGGCGGCGGTCAGGTCCTGGCAAACGGCACACACCCATGTATTTCTTCTGCTCACCATTTTCCTCGTGGCTCACCAGGTCGTCTGTCAAGAACCCTGAAAGATAAACCGTTGGTTTTTTTAGGTTTCTCTTAAGGAAAACAAAAGGTAAGAATGAGACATGCTAAAGAAGATGGAGCTTACCACTGTCACGGAGGTTCTGTAACACTTTGCTGAAAACCCCCTTGTGGGACTTGCCATCAGGATGAGATATGAGTACGTCAACATCTCCACATGTGGCCTTTCCCCGGCGATAGGAGCCACATGCCATCGCCACCAGGCCTGGGTCTATGGCCTTGGCAGCCTCCTTCAGCTGCACATACACCCAAAGAAAAAGACACATAATATAGGCTATCATCTACCATAGAGTGATGGAGTTTTTTTTAAATCTTTGGCTTCTCAATAATAGAAAAGCAGTGTTTACTTCGTATGTTCTCTTGTCTTTACGGGGCCACTGGCAAACAAGTAAGCTTTTACCCGTTTCCAGCCAAATACCGGGAGGCAGGCTTGCTAAAGCATCACTTATTACTTTCACAAGCCTGAGGGAGTACACATGCTTTAGTCATATATCTAATGTGCATCTGGCAGCTTTGAAGGAAAAAGAAAATCCAGGTAATGCAATATGAAAACAACTAGCGTTGCACTCAACACTCTGGAGTGAACAGGTATCTGGCTAACTTAAGATGCAGCTACTTTTTTTCGGTTTCAAGAGTTAGTTTTGCCCTCTGGGACGCTCCACTTTGTGAGAACACAGTCTGGTTTTACCATTATCAAGCAGTCAAGGAATGTTGACACACACTTTGTCCTTCTTCAAGCCTTCTGTTTCTAAATCACAGCGGGTTAAATGGGGGAAATCTCACCTCTATGTGCTTGAATAAACACATTAAAGTGGTGAAAGATGCCAACATAGTTCAGTCGTCATCACAGAATGATACATGTAGATATTGCGACAAATGAAGATGCTTTACCACTTTCTCTACGGCTGCTGCTTCTTCTCTGGGTATGCGGTCTACAAAGTCATCGTAGTGCTTGAGTCCTATTTTCTGAGTGTTACTCAGGTGGGCTTTTGTGCGGATGTCCTCCAATGTGCGAAAGCCCTAAAAGACAAATAACATTTTTAAGAAATCTTCAAAGAATACAGTATGTTGTATATTAGACCTTTGCCTCCTGCGTCATTGTGTGTGTGTGTGTGTGTGTGTGTGTCTTACCTGTTGGTACCACAGCTGTGCAGTTTTAGTTCCTGCACCCCAGATGTTAGTAAAAAGCTCCAGTACTGGCACAGCCTCCCCGAGGTGGTCGAGCTTCCGCAGGTGACCGCTCTCCGTGATCTCGTCAATTTTGTCGGCCATGCGTTTACCAATTCCTGGGATCAGACAAGCCTCCTGAAACACATAACAAGTTCTGATTCAAAAAGGAATATACGCAAAATAATCAAACAACATGACATTAAAAGCATGTGCATTGGGTTACCTGGTATGATGTAATAGGCTTGTGGTAACTCTTCAGTGCATTGACAGCCTTGGAGTAGCCCAGCGCCCGCCACCTGTCCCCCTGGTGTGTGTAGGCCTTGGCCAGCACTTCTAGCTTGTCTGTGATGTGTTTATTGAAGTTATTCATTTTGGACTGAGAGGATTTGGCACAGACCCAATTCCCTGAGACCACCTTCTGAGCAGCAGAGTCTGGACTGGGGTCTAGGCTGGGGCCAGGAGTCTCCTCTTTGGGGTGCTGGCCAGTGAGGAGAGCTTCCAGGTCACTCTGTGAGACCCCGTCTTCTTCACCTCGCACTTCCTCTTTAGTGTCTGGAACTGTCTGAGAGTAGAATGTAATGTTAAACTATAAAACACACAGATTGTTGTTTGTATGTGTTCTAAGTTCAAGCTCTTGTCCCCTCTTGTAGAAAATGATTAGTGACTGAAAGAACCTGTAAACCTGCACACATGACTTGGAGACCTACCATGTCTATGGTCTTCTCTTGCTTGGTCTGATCCAACACGGGCTCTGCTTCGTCAGCGGGCTTGACATTCAGCAGCTCTTCTTTAATATTTTCATGCCGTGTTTCAGATTCTCTAAGTGGGGAGGACATCAAAAGACGTTATAAAACTGATGACTCATTGAATTTTCTAACATATATTTGCTGTCTTCATGTCAACACACTTTTGTAAATACTTCAATTTGAAGTGGTAAATGTGATGTACAAGTGAAAAGTAGATACACATTCACCCTGGCTTGCTTCTCTGTAGTGTATTAATAAGTCTGTGTTTGATAAACTGGAACATCTCGAGATACAGATACAAGTAATCATCCTAAAACAGTACTATTAGGTCATTAACCTCTTGGGTAACAGAAGGCTGTAGCTGTCAACATCCAGCAGTTGTTTCTCACTGATGCACGAGCTCAACCAAATGCATTTCACTAGTTGGACTGCAGGGGGCATACAATCCACTTGTAGTAAGCGCAGTGCCCTGACACTGTCCATGTTGTCATCCACAACAACATGAGTGACACTGGGACGCAGCGAACTCTCCGTCTGTCCTCCATTCTGCCGAATTTGTCTTTGAAAGATCTGGCATCTGGCACTTCCTATACCAGCAGGCAGGATGTACACTGTGACACCATCAAAAGTGTTTCCTGGGACAGAAGAGAAGAATGTGTTACAACAAGCAAATATGTTGCATTTCCACACACACACACACACACACACACACACACACACACACACACACACTAACAACCTGTGATATCACATTCTTCAGGTTTCTTCTTTACTGGTGGTGCATCCTTTCCCTGTAACACTCGAGCTCGTTTGACTTTGGGAAAGGCTTTCATAATCCCGTGACCAGGCTCCATCTTGTTTCCTGAAGGGGGGGGGCGCCGGTGGCCTGTGACATAAAGAACAGAATTATTGACTTATCTATAACTTTGTATTTTTATACTTTGAATTCTGTCATTGTTTTCAAAAGTTACAATTTGACAGTAGCGTTATTACACTGTCTTGCATTCAAAATATTAATTATTAAAAGTATGCAAGTATTACCATCTAGATTAATGTAAGTATCAAAAGTAAACGCACACAGAGTATTGTGATATCAATGAATATCTCATGTGTCAGTATCATATTAATGTTGTATCTGGTCACGGTGGAGGTAATTATTACTACTTTAAGAACTTTTGGATACTGTAATCTACATTAGATAATCATTATAATTGATAACATGAGCATTCATTATGAAAGTAAAGTAGCAATCTGCAAAGTAGCTAGTAACAGTAGCTGTCAGATACATATTTCCCACTAAGTGTAGTGGAAACTTCAGTATAAAGTAGGATAAAATGGAAACACAAGGGTTTGAATTCTGGAGTCCTACAGCACTGAAGTAGATGTGCTTTCTGCCATTAAACCACGAGTTAGTACAAAACAGTACATTTCTGTTACTGCCTAAAATTACTCTGCATTGCCAACATGTGTGTGTACTTTACACTGTAAGTAGTACATTGTATTATATTTCTGTACAACAATAGCAAAGAGTGGGAGCTGTTTCGGCTTGTACTCAGTGCAGATAACTAAACATCGAACAAAAAGTTCGGAAATTAGTGTTTGGTAGATTATTTCTGTTGTAACAATGCTTCTTGGCAATGCATTTTATACCGTTGGAAACAGTTAACAGCAGAACACGCTGTTTGGCATTGGCAGAGAAGATTTGGCACATTTTTCATGGGGGCAACCCACATACTCAGCTGTGCTGCTCATCCCACAAATGCATGTTCCTTACAAATGGGGCACCGTATAACATTTATTGCCAACAAGAATTGTTACAACAGAGAAATAATCTACCAAACACTAATTTCCGAACTTTTTGTTCGATGTTTAGTTCAGTGACAAAGCAGGCTGAGAAAATAATCTATGATGTCGCAATAATATGTTAGCGTTACAATACTACTTCCCCTTAGCGCGTGCTAACGTGCTAAACAGCAAACGGTCAGTGCCGCTTCGACTTTTCACTGAATATTTGAATTACGCTTTAATTAATTCGAACATATCCAAATGTAATTGTATATTTGACACAGATAAAACTCTTTAAACTCGTATGTGTTGCGCTCTTACCCCTGTTCAGATGGAACCATTCGTACAGAAACAAACAGATAGCGCTCAGATGTTTCACTTCCGGGTCAATTGGGTTTACTTTTCTAAAAAATATGTCTAAATCATACCCCAAAAACTACATATTACACCTGTTACTACATCGTGGTTCTTATAGTAACTTTTATAATTTCATGGTTTTATTCATTCTATAATGTATTATCTATTCAGTTTGTGTATTAACCTCGGTTGCTGTGGTTACGGTTTGACTCCGGAAGTGTCCTCGTGCAACAGAAACATCTTGAGAAACATGGCTGATCAAAGCTGGATCGATATCCTGAAATCCTCAAAGAAAACAGCTCTGATACACGACGGTGAGTAGCTGACACACACCTGTGAACTCTCCAGCCTTCGTGTCGTTTTACCTGACGTTAGCAATATTCATTCACTAGCTTTCCAGCTAACACTAGTCTCATAGGCAACAAGCAGGTGGCACAACTCGCCCTGTAGCATGTTACACATCTTATGTTAACACAAATAGACTCCAAAACATACTTCAAAATACTTCACAAAATGTGTCAACGGCCCGTCGCGAGTATAATACACTATCTGGAAAAGTTGCGACCTAAAAGAGAGGTGAGTTAACCCACAATGTGACTCGCTGCTCTGTGGGTGTCTTTAAGCATCTAATTTAAGCATCTATCTAATTGTGAGCTCTCTCTAATCAACTAGTCTGGTCTACCTTGCTGTTATCACCTCTGCTAACTTTACACCAATCACTGACACAGCCCTTTATCCATCCATGCTGGTTTACATCTACAGCAAACATGCATTAATATTATAGTTTGCTAAATGAAAGACATATTTAATGTATTGCTTCCTATTCTAAGAAGGCGTCACATGTCAAATCTTTTCAAACTGCACCTCCAGGAAAAAGGAAGATCCACTTCCTGTTTACAGATGGAAAAGAAATGTCAGAGGAGTATGACTTACAAACAGATGAGCTCATTGGTAAGTAACGGGTCTTGAGTTTGACGCAGCCACATGTAGCTGCTGGGGTTCTGAATTTTAGGGGCATACGTTTATGTATCTTATAAAATTGTTTGGTACTTTTCAGTACGAAAGTGGCGTCATAAAAGCACACTTGGAGCTCAGGGCCAGTGGCATGTAGAGGTTGGGGAGCCACTTGCAGGCCCTGTCCCTTCTTCGGATTTGGAGGTGATCAAGGAAAACTGCTCCAATGTGGGTTTGCCTTTATGGTTTCTGAAACTTTAGAAATACAGTTGAAACACTTCATTTTCTAATGGCCATCTTTGTTTGTTTTAGTTCAGTTTAGAAAAACACGGGCAACATGCCATGTCTATGTTAAATGGATGTGAATGTTTCTCGTCTCCACAGCCCGTGTTCTTGCGTAAAGACACAAAGACCAGCTTTCAGTGGAGAGTTCGCAACCTTCCCTACCCCAAAGATGTCTTTAGTGTTTCTGTGGAGCCATCGGACAGATGCATCATCGTGAAAACCTCAAACAAAAAGTAAATATGCATGAAAACACTGTGGTTTGTTTTCCATCTTCCTGTTGCACACTTGTTGCATGTAATCCTCGTGTCCTCCCTATAGATGGCACTGTTTACAATGCATTTGTCGATACAGTCGTGTGATAACCCTGTGACATCCTCTCCATGTCCTCCCAGATATTATAAGAAGTTCAGTATTACTGATTTAGATCGCAGTCAGCTGCCATTGGACAACTCCGCCCTCAGCTTCACTCACGCCAACAACACTTTGATTGTCACCGTAAGTCCTACACAACAATAACAAATAAATGAATCACCATTAATGTTATGTTGACAGTGCTTTAATATACAGATCTAAGCATTATAGGTTCATTCTTAAATATGTTTTCTTACCATAAATGTTGAGTGCAGGGACCCAAACAGTATGACCTCAGCAGTCCAAATAGCTTCAAAAGTATCTGGAAAAAAATAAAAGTTTTACTATTAAAGTATTTCATGCAAATCATGAGGAATAGATACAGATGTTTTTTTTTTTTTTTTTTATATATATATTTTATACTCAAGGTTTACTCCTGTGCACCTGTCACTCAGTCCCAAGTTTTTCACTTTCCAGCAATATGTTTTATGCCTACAACAATTGCTCTTTTTGTGATAATTGCTTTATATACCGCCTGCTCTTTCAACAGGATTACCGTGAGGGATTTGCAGGAGAGAGAGAGAGACGGGGAGAATGTTGAAGTAATTATTTTTCTTCTCTCTTCTCTGTCAGTACAAGAAACCCAAGGAGATCTTAACCCTTGAACAGGAGCTACTGAAGGAGCTGAAGAAGCTGAAGGGGACCGGCGAAGGGGACGTCGACTGCAAAACTCAGTGAATTTGTTCTGTGGGAGCGAGAGGATGATTCTGCGTTGCATCTAAACAGTGCCTTTCAATGGTTTATAGCGCCTAATTGTGTTTACTTATTGGGGTTCATTTATTAAAATGGTTATTGTTTATATTTGATACAGACATATTCTATGAAATATATTACATATGTTTTTCTAGCGGATCCATGAGCGTTTTCCCGAATTATTTCTTTACATAGTATAAATATTTATTTACATTAAAAAGTTTAATTGTATCACAACAGTATCAATTAAATTTACTTCTTGTTACCAAACCTACTAGGGAGCAATTTTGATGGGGGCCACATAACCTACTACCCTCCTTTCATTGATGTCCTTGTAAAACACTCAGAACACACAATGCCTCGTCCCTGTTCGTTCCAGGGTCACTGTTACGAGCACATCCCATTCGTGTTAACTGAATACCCTCATGTTCCTCGCATGTAGCGGGCCACCCTGAAAGCCATTACTGAAACTCTGCTTTCTAGAGAGCAAGCTAGTGTTACTGTTTTCCTTTTCAACAAAAGGACGTTCTGACTCTGTGGTCTCCTGCTAAAACTACACGCACACAAGTTAGAAATATGTGCAACGGTCGCACGGCCTTGTTCCAAATGGATTTGATATTATTCTCAAACAAGGACAAATAAGATTTCTTTCTATGTATATATGACGTGTACAGAAGAAGAAAGATTTGTGCTTCTAAAGGGGATATTTGACTACTTTTCCACCAAGTTCGGTTAAAAAAACACTGTCCAGTCTAACAATAGTTAGACAGTGGATTAAAAAAAAAACCCATTTCTGTTTAAAAGAGACAATGGCATTTAAATATAGCTTGTTTCAACCTTGTGATTCCTTGCATTTTTTTACCACTTGTCCAAACCCAGAGAGCAAGTGTAAAAAGCAGAGACAAAACCACAGGTCTGTCTCTCTATTGTCTTCCTCCAGATGGAAAGAAAAGGAATAAAAGAAAACATTTGAACCCAGCCTGTCCTGTTGTTTTGCAAATTCTTGTGAGGGACTTTTTTTTTTTTTTGTTAAACGTTTGTTAAAAATGCATCCACGCATACTTAAAACAACTTAAATATATCTTGTAAGAAACAGGCCGACAGCCTGTTCTGCTGAGCAGATGCCCTAAATACCAAAGCATCCATTCTGAAGTCTTAATTTTGGTTATTTAGTTGAATGCTTTACAGTCTGCTGTGCAAAGCTCGAGCTGCTGTCAAAACAAATTCAAGCAAACACCAACTAACAAATTGCACATCCAGCTTATGCACTGTGAGAGCAGCCGAGCGCCTCTGTTCAGGGTCTTCTTCCTCCCCTGTCGTTTGGCCTCTGATGGTCATGCTCAACTGCTTCTGGGAAGAGGGTTTCTTTTCTGCCTCCCTTTCATTCCCGAATGCCTCTTCCCAGCCATTCCCCCTCTTTCAGCCGATGCCACATTTTGCCACACAGGCCCCGATGCTTTTTCTGCAGCCCTTCAACTCCCTCTCCGCAAACCTCCCCCCCCCCCTCCAACCCCTTACCCCTCCCTGTGTGACTGGCTTCTTTTTGATAACTGACCCCTCCTCGTGTTATTATTCGAACCCACTATTGTATAACATGCCCTTTTATATGAGGTTTCACAAAGAGCCCATTTGATCAGAGGGTTACGGTGTGCGATCGTGAGAAATGCAACTACATGGTGGTAACCTTTGTTTGGGCCAAAATGGTGGGCTGACCTCATCGCTTTTAATGCATAGCTCAGGCCATTCAGGCCCAAGTCTCACTTGCTGAGCACATTGAATTCAGTAGCCTGTCACAGATATTGCCCCTCAGTTATCTGGGTCTCCAGCTTGGAGAAGAAAAAAAAAAAGAAAAACAGTTTTGGGGGGTAACCAACAATGTATGCTAGCTTTCCGTCCCAAAACAACCACACAAGAAAAGCCTCGCAGCTTGTGAACTGATTCTTTAGTGGTTTTAATATACACTCTACAATAAATATTTCCATCATTCATTTACATTTTTACAGTAAAAATATATTCATATATGTAAAAAAAAAACAGGTTAAAAATTCTCCAGAATGGCCTCCTAAAGGCAGGCTAGCATGTCAACTGAGACTCTGGTGCTGCAACCACAAGAAAATCCACAGATAGCTGCCGTGTCTAGCTTCATTGTACTCATTTCTGTTTTAAACATTCTTTGTTGCTGAGCTTCTGAACTTCTAATCAGAGGTTTTTCATTCATGAAAGTATTGTTGAGCTCTTTTGTGCTTAACTGCCCCCTCTCCCCCACCCGAGTTCACGAGTAAAAATCTGTCCTACGATTTGTCTGAATTGGAAATAACTAGCAGATTAGATAATCAATGGTTACATACAATCCAGTACAAAGAATTACACAAAGTCCACAAAATGAGGCAAAACGTGTATGGGCACTTGACTGTAAAAGTTAATTTCTCTGAGAGCTCTTGTTTCCTCTTGTAGTGGTTCTTCTGTGCTGGTTCGTCGACAGTTCTCCCTCAGTGGTTTCAGTGCTCAGCGGCCTCCTGAACGCTGGTGATGGGAATGTTTAGTCCGCTTGCTCAAAGGGTGCGCGGGGACGCGGAGAGGAAGGACATCAAACGGTCTCCTCTCGCTCAGCAAGTGCCCCCTGGGAAGACGCTTCATGAAGTGGGCCTCCCTCTGGTGCTGCTTGGTCTTGGAGGCCTTCCTCGGACGGCCCTTGCGTGTGAAAGCCATGTACCAGCCCTCGTACTTGGCGTTCTGCAGCGCCGTGTAGTTGTTTTCCAGAACAATCTCGGTGAAGATGCAATCTTTGCCTCGTCCTTTCCGCTGGGAAAGAGAAAGAGAGTGGGAGAAGTTGAGGTATGTTGGACGATTCCCAGGAAGCGGAAACATCGTCTTTATTTCCAGACAGTCAAATACCCTTTGAAACCTTGAGAGGGCCGCTCAGAGAAATTTTAAATATCTAATTTGTTCTGGCCTCGATTGTGTCTAAACAATGTGTCACCAAAAACTGCAAATCTGGACTAACATTTCCAAGAAACAAACAAATGCAGCTACTATGAATTACAGATTACCTTGCCGATCAGCTTCCCCCTCTTGTTCATACATATGTAGTATCCCGTCTTCACCCCTTTAATGCGAACACGACTTCCAAAAGAGTCCGTCTCCACCTCCAGTTTAGCTGCACAGACAAAAAGGATCACAAATAATGAGAAGACACAGTCCTGACAAGGTGCAGGCACGCAGATTATGATGTTACAGTGTGTGAGACAAATATATTCCTGAGACTGTAATGAACTGGAATTACATCATGTCATCATTAAATGTCGTTAAATTGTTTTTTCATGAGCAGTGACACAGAATCATGAAGATGACATAAATTCACTCTCAACCCTTTTATGGTCTAGTATAGACGCCTTCAACAAAGCGTGCAAGCCTTCCAAAATAGCACCAAATGATAGTGATTTTGCACGGCGCGATTGCTGTTGAATGTCTGTAAATGCTGTGCCGGGATGCGGCTCAGACTGGGGATAAAGGAGAGTGAGAAGACTGCGGTCAGGGACACAGCCACAAGCACAGAGCAGCGGTCAGATTTGGGCCGGTTACAAGAGTGACACCCACTTAGGATGTGTAGCCAATGTGTGCATGACCAACTCTCTCTCCCTCTGTGTGTGTGCATGTGCGTGTATAGGTCGAGAAATTAAAAAGACAAAAGAGCACACAGGAGAGGAAGGAGAGGAAAAGGTATAAAGTCAAGATGCTGACTTCAGCGCTCCTTATAAATTGAGTCATACATTGAGTTGTAAAGCAATGAAAATTCCTCATAAAATGCATCTCCAAAAAGCAGGCAGCAGGCATTGGGAAGGGGATGGATGGTGGTGGTGGAAAGATGGCTCGGCTCGGCACACCAAAATCCTTTTTGTGACAGGATTTCTGCTCTCTTTAAGTTTAAGACAGTTTTCCCTGCTAGAAGCAAAGACTAGCCCCCTGAAGTCCATCATAACAGGTGTCAAGCACTTTCTAGAGTACAAACACACTAACAAAATAAATCATCTTCATAAGGCCATGAAGGATGGCACTGCTGCTGATGTTTACAATTGCTAGTGTTCCAATTGGCTCAAACATTTTCCCGCAGGCTCCCAAAAACGACATATTGTTTTACTGCTTTTCAACACCGCCCCATGCGCCATTGGATTTAAACAATTCCTGTTTGTAACATGAACACGTTTCCTATTTTATTGTTTTCCCGAGCTTTAGAAGCATTGAAATGTAAGAAAGGAGGACCTTTAGCTGTCATTGGTTTGGACTGATCTGGCAATAACACACTTTAGGTTTAATATTCTTCATCATTTCAAAGACAATAAAAAGTGCTCTCCCTGAACAGGTTAACACATGTGGACATTTGTTCCAATATTTATAATAAAACTGTACTTAAATATTTAACTATACGCAAACGTCAGCAAGCCTAAACGTTTTACTCTATTTAGCAAAACATCCAAACGCTAATTACACCTTTATTCTCGCGATATTTTGAATATTTCCATCAATAACTGTTCGGATATATTACTGGCTGGTTTTTAATAGACACTGAAATGTGTTTTATGTAATTATGAGTGGTGTTCTTCGCTCTGTGAAAACATGCCTAACATACACCCGTTTCTTATGTTTCCTACCGTGCACCGCTCCGTCGTCTCCGTTGGCGTTGACCCTCTTGTTGCCCAGGACCTGGACATGTTTCCCGCTGGTGCGGCTGTACAGCTGGTAGGTTCGCGTCAACCTGCGGCTCATGCGGTCCGACAGCCGGCTCTGCTCGGTGACATGGTGCTTGAAATTAGGAGGGGACTGCACAGTGTTCTGTCGGACAAGAAAACACATGTCGCGAAATATGAAATTACTTTCATACTTATCGCAGGTTTTTTTTTTTTTACTTTAAAACCCAAAGCCTGAAAAAAAAGTAAACTGTGAGGAGACTAAAGCGTGCCAGTCAAAGTGCAGAGGCCCAGGCCCACAGTTCATTATGCCAGTCATAATACATCCTGCTTTTTCCTCTTTCATTTATTTGTACATGGCCTACAGTATGTTTTTGGAGACGCTTTCATGGTCCCTTAGGGGATGACATTTCCCTCTCATAGCCTAGGTTGTTTTTACCACCGATGATCTTTCACCCCTTCTTGACTTCTTTTTTTCTCATTTCAGCCGTTCTCCATCCACATGTGTTTTAACAATTACTCTTTAGGCTGGAGCTTACCTCTTTTCAAGATGTTTGAATTGTTGCCAATTGCCATAGCACTCATAATAAAATGTTGTCATTGTTATTGCAGCCCATTGCAGATGTAGAGGCGCTGAACTAAGCCGCTTAGCATGGCGTCTGCATACCTGTTAACTTTTACCTACTTAATTATAGAGCTTTACGTAACATTCATGTTTTTTTATTGGAGTGAAAATTTGAGTTACCTGTGCGTAAAAGCAAAGCGCTGTGAACTGAAGTAACCTTTGGGGAAAGAAGAGAAAACAATTAGAACATCTAACCTGTTGGTCAAATTCAATGAGTTACATATGCAACTATTTTATCTTGACAGCTCTTTACTTACAGATAGCCTAACCTCGATGTTCTCAGCCTCATCTTGTAATAGTTCAAATATTGCTTCATGAATACTCCACTGATTCGGTGCTGGAAACTCTCGGAAATAAAGTTCCTCCTGGTGGGAATTTCAGCTCACGTTGATCCCCCTCTTGTGACATATAGACTGTGATAGCCGTGACATTTAAGAGATCCAAAACGGCCAAGGGTCCCACGCAGATACAGGATCCACGCGACTGAAACAGTAAAAAGTCCAGAAGATTTAAGGGTGCTGCGGTGCCAATCCAAACTAAAAGTCCGGCGTCGCTGTCACCAAACCACCTCCAGTGAAACTCTCCGTGTCAATCACTCTCTCAGTGATGGAGCTCTTGGATCACGTTTGAAGTCAAAAAAAGCCTCTCTGACATTCTGTAGCAGAGCAGTGGTGAGTAGGTGTAGTTTTACGCACGGATCTTCACTCATCAACGGTCAGATGCGCGCTGTGAAAATGACTAAGTGGTTAAATACGATTTCTTTTTAAAAGTTGAATGAATCCCACGAGTACCAACACGGCTTTATTGGTCTGATGTATAGTCAGAGCAATGACGCCACAGCTGTCGCTCCATACGATGCACAGATAGTAAACCGTCAACCTTCCTCCCACGCGTGTATTTCTTGTGGTCGCCTCCAGTCCACGTACAGCATCTGTCTCCCTCTACATTTAAATACTTTAACTTGCGGGAAAGTCAATATCCTCGGTGAGAGCAGGCGGAGCGTTCGAGCTGCAGCCAATTTGAAACTGAATACATATTAAAACACTTTGCCTCCACCTATCTGCTCACAATTCCACAAACACAGAATCCATCAATGAGTTGAATGTGTAATAAAACAAGATGAGAGATGAGAATATGAAATACAGTCTGTCACCAAGAGAGGAGCTTATTTGTGGGTTAGATCCACACAAAAATATCAGCAAAATGTTTTGAACTAAGCATTTATTCACAATCACACGTTAATCTAATTGTCATCTTCATCCATGTAAAACCCGCACTAGGTTTTCTCTCAGCAGAATTGTCCTCATGGAAACATTCCCTGGCTTGTACTTAAGAAAATCTACAGTTACATTAACTTATTCCCTGACTGCAGGTTAGAGGTTGTTTGGTGGTCCCTCAGGACAGACCCTGATGTACTTTTTCATCCTACATATGTAAGTAATATGTATTCCATGTGAACATATGACACATAATGGTTTTCACATAACATCTAAGGCCTTTGCCTTGGATACAAATGCTCTCTCGCTCACAATTACTCTTCCATAACTTTTCACAAACCTGGTTTGGCTTTCCAAAGGGTGTCCAAGGCCTGGTCTGCTACTTTCACAGCACGGCTTCATGCACTACATCAAACAATTATGTCGTAATTATTCTTCGTGACAACAAAGCGGCAGGGTTTCCTTCAAGGGGACGTGACTGTTACACACTCGTCTTATATGGAAGAAAGTGAGCGGTTTTGAGGAACATAATCTAAACTTGATCGATCATGTGCTTGCCTTTTTTTCAATCCAACACAAGAAGAAAATGATTGTGAATAAAGATTTTGAAGCAGCTTTTTTCCCTTCTCTAAACTAAGAATATACACACAGTCTCATAGCTTATAAAAGAGGTTACGTTGAACGAACATTTAGCGTGTCATTCACTAACTGTATGAGATTATATAGGCCAAAGCTGAACACAAAAACTTTAACATCTGCTGTGCACGCTTTAAATCAGAATAGAAGTGATTATCTACAGTACAGATTATGGTCTAAATGAGCCAAAACCAATTTGTGACTCTTACCTGTGAGTGTTCACAAATGCAGACCCATGCTGTATGAACACTATGGGAAACTTTTGCACCCTTCTCGCAGCACAGCTGTACACGAGTAAAGTAGGCTATATTATATATATATAATCATGTGAATTTGGTCAACGTCTTAGCCGTAAATCAGTCATTTCAGCCAATGCAGGGGATTTAGGGGGTGAAAATGGACCTGCCTTATTAGTTCCAGTGGGACATTGTAACAAGTGATTTTGCCACCTGGAACAATTCAGCTCTTTGTTCTTTCATATTCTGACCCCTGTGAAGCAATGATCGCACGTCCTAAATCTGAAATCCACATGCATGATAATTAAAGAGATTGAGTTTTATGAAGACCACACAATGACTCATCACAAGTGCTTGTTTGACTGTCTGAACCCACAGATTAGTTCTGTCACGAGTCATTTAAAGAACATTTGATTAGGAAGAGGACACCTGGGAGAGATGGTGGGATTGTGTATATGTAGCTGTAACATTGTAACAGTCTGCTGTACATAACTCCAACTTATCTTTTCTTTTTATTCTCTGAAGCAAATTCTAGTGACAGGATTCCTTGAAAATATGCAGATAAATGTTCACAAATGTTCAATATGTCAACAATCGCTCTTTTAAAAGGCAACTGAGTCTCATATGCCAGAAAGCATGACTTTATTTCATTGCATTATAGGTTGTATTCTCTTAAGCTACTTGCATGTTTGCTTGCTTACTCTTGTCATGACCTCGGGTCAGCCAAGACCAGACAATGAACAGAAGTCTTGATCTTGTTTATTTCCCACATTTTCAGTTATACTTTCTGAGAAGAATTCAAATACCTTGGAAAAAAAAAGCTAGGATTTTATTGCAATGGCTGTTAAATATGTGTGATGATAAAACAATTCTACATTCGGCTTTTTCGCTTCTTTTTTTTTTAGATAAAATCTGCCTGCAGATAAACACAGGTTGTTAATTTATGATTCTTTAAGATCAGAGTTTTGTTCTTCTCTTATTTAATTGCCAGATGAAGGAAAGAGACGTGTTGCTAACAGTACGTGCCACTCGTACTGAAACATAAACTTCAGATTGGGACCTCAACTGATTCTTACCTGACCTCTTTTCTTAAAGAAATCGTCACAAATTTGTGAAATATGCATATTTGCTTTCATGCTGGGAGTCAGATGAGAAGATTGATCCCACTCACTCAATATGAGTCTGCACTCGTTACCGGGCAACCTCACAGTGACTCCAGGAACTCGCCACACAAATAGTTATAAGCCCGAGTAAAAGCACCACCTGTGGATTAAAGAAACCAGTTATAACGTGTTCAGCGTTGTGAGTGAGCTTAAGAAGAGCTGCTAGGTGGGATTGTTTTACCCAGAGCCAGGCTAGCTGTTTTCAGTCTTAATGCTAAGCTAAGCTAATCGACTGCATGGCTGTAGCCTCATATTCAGTCTGCAAACACAGGAGTCTTCTCATCTAGCTGTCAGCAAGAAAGCAAATGAGTTTATTTCCCAAAATGTTGAACTATTCCTTTGATTACAACATGTGAGCTGGTTATTCTCACACACAGCCTCACAGTCTTTACTGCTTCACAATAACTTGACTGAGAACATTTGGTCCAGTACTGTGCATTCGATACATCTCTTTGATTTCACTACAATCTATAACAGCCATTTACAATTTAGAAACAATTCCGTCTCTGCGAGCGTAAATGGCATTTGGTTGAGGTGACCTGTCAGACAGGTTTGGCTAAAGTTCTCCAGACTATACATGAAAGGTTCCTGTGAAACATGATCAAAAGCTATCGTTTTTTATTCTATTTCTTTTCACATACCTAACTGGCTGCTGCCTCGCTCCTGAGATTCTCTAGTGACCAGCGTTTCTGGCCTCCTAATGAGTTTGAGTAGAGTTGACGCAGGTCCAAGTTTTGCCTCAGATCCCGACTCCTTTTGTCTTTCGTCTTAGTCTCCCAAATGCTGCTTTTCACATTTGGATCACAGTTTGCTAACTAATACAAAGCCAGCTGGTATCAGCGAATGAGGCACAAAAAACAGCAATCACTGTGAAAAAGAAGAACTTTTTGGCGAAGACGCACATTGGTTATTCTTAGAAGAAGAGTGACTGAATGTCTCAGAAAGGCCCCAGAACAGACTACCATTCAGTGAGAGGGATTATTCCTCCGAGCTAATGTGAGACATTAAAATACACACTGTTGCGTAAGGCAGAGCCAATGGAAAGGTAGACACCATAGAGGACAAGGGGGAAAAAATCAGAGCCAGTGAGGAAGACGGACAGAATATGAGAGAGAGAGAAAGAGAGAGAGAGAGAGAGAGAGAGAGAGAGAGAGTGTGTGGAAAGAAAACGTGGTTTGCTTCCCAGGGTGATCTGGTAGCGTCGCTCACCGCCTAAACCTCAGCGACTTTTTAGAAGAAGAAGAAACTCTTCAATCACCTGTTGTAATTATGCACCGCTGCTTTGTTGTAACAACGTGAACCACATAATGTGCCGGTAACCACTTCACCACACTTACCCTGAACTGGCTCGAGAGCGTGCTGACAGTCTGTTCCTGACATGGAGGATTAATGGCATACATTTAAAACACAATTCTTTAACGATAGATCTTTTTTTAATTCAGATGAACATTTATAACAGCAAATGATGGATACCACCCTTACTAATGTATCCCTTATAGAGTATTTACAGGTTGTAATTAATCATTTTATTATAATAACTTTTGGGTTGCCAGGTTGTGGCTGTGTTTTGTTCTCTTCCAGCTTTGTCTTCTTTGCACTCAAGCTCATTATGAACACTCCTCCAGTAGACCATTTGACCTCTGACCTTCTTCAAAATGACGCTGGATCTGGACAAACGTTTATTTATTGACAAGTTATTGGCATTTACAACAGCAGGCTTGGTTTATTAAAGACATATTACAACTTACAGCATACGTATTCACTTTTGCTGTCGGCTTATTGAAAAAATGGAAACTTAACTGTTAATAATGACTTATTCATATTTATAACTGCAAACTTGATGGATTATTACCATCTGATAATGTCTGACTAATGGGTGGATGAATCTGTTAGCGGCAGGCAGGGCTAACATTTGCTTTCAGTCACCCGGAGCAGCTCAGTGACACAGTGATGACGATCTGGTGAGAGTGCTGTGTGCACGAGTGTCTACGTGGTGGTGTTGCAGTGCCAGCGCCTGAGAAAATTGTTATGGTGGGAAAATTTGGAAAAGCGAGTCAAAGTTCTTGCCACTGAATGACGCTTGAAGTACTTACTCGTGTTTGAGCACAGCGGAGAGCTTGAATGGCTTTTTAACTGGATGAAACGACTGTCTGGGAATGACCCCGGTGTGTAGAAGTGATTAAGGGGACCCAATTTTGCCATAACCCAAATGTGTTTGCATAACGAGTTTACGTGGTGTTCCTGGTGGTATTAAATAAAGCTCTCTGTTGAAGCTTTTAACAACTGTTGCGTGTTGCAGTTCTGTTTCGCTATTTCTCTTCGAAGGCTTGTTTTCAAGAATCTCATCCACATTTTCATCATTCAGTGAGTCTTAAATTACTCATCTGATCTCATCAGAACAGATGAAACTGAAAGCGATGAAGACGAAGGGTCCCACAGTGGCATCTCCATCTATTCCCTGTGGAGAGGCGTGTGTGTGTGTGTGTGGCGTGCTGGCAGTGAGGTAGAAAGCTGCAAAGTTGTCGATGGCTCCGTCGAAGTGGTCTTCCTTCCCAGCGACTTGGATGTTTCCCCCGTTTTTCCCCCCCTACCCCCCCCCCCCCCCCCCCCCCCCCC